ACGCATGCGCCAGGTTTTGCCGCGGAAACACGGATTTTGAGTCGTTCGCATGGTTGATTTCCTATTCTGTTGCTTCGAGGCGTCGTTTTCCTTGCCGCTTTTCTTTTACAGAACAACCTCCAAAAATTTGGTACACCCCCTAAAAATTTTCAAAAATTAATTTTCTCCTTTAAACCTTTGGAAATAGGAAAGTGCCTTCAACGAAAACAGAGTTCCTCGGTTTTAAAGGTCAGCCCTTATTATTTTTCGATAATTTGGCTAAATTTTAGACCTAGGACACTTGAGCCCACGTTGTTGACTGCATACCCGCTGACGTAGCATTTCATTATTCAGCTCTGTCGACCCGTGTAACTTACACGGGTCACGAAGAAAACCTAAATCTGTATACGTTGTCATTACTTGCAACACTTGTACGTAAGTGTAAACTTTCAAATTAATTTAAAAAAACCTTAGTTTGTATAATGAGCATTATCCGAGCATTTTAGTTACTAGTTTTTTGGGGGAGACCGAGCATTTTAGTGGGAAAAATGGAGTGTTAAGGTGGAGCATTTTAGTGGGGAAACAAAAGCATAATGTACAAAAGCCTACCCTTTAAGCTTCAAGATGCGTAAATTATACTATTTTTGCATTTAAATAAATTACTATTGAAGGTCAATTATCTTCTTGTTTTATCCGCTTTTAACTGTTTTAGTTAGAACAGATATACTTAACTAGGAACTACTTATTCTCACTAAGTGAAAGCATCACAAATATTATCTTGGGCCAAGTCTGAAGTAAAGTCTCAGCCGATTGTGCGGGATGCAATTATTGCAAAATATTTTCTGTGATGTTCGTATTTTTGTTTACCTTTGATTTCTGTGTCAACATATCTTTATGTGAAATTCTTCCAGATTGATTCGAGTGTTGTTTTACATTAATATTTATAAGTAATGTGCCCAGTATTGCCAATCAACATGCTAGAAAAGGGCTGCATTTTATCAAATACATTGTCATTTCTTGTGTTCTTGAGCCTGTTCATTTCCTTAATTTAAGCACCCAAAATGCACCAGATTGCATCTCAGAGCACTCAAATTTTCAAAATTTCCCGGGGGGCATACCCCCGGACCCCCCTAGTTGTTGCGCCTTTGGCACTCAGGTCGGGCGCTACTCACCCAAATTGTCTCCACCTGCTTCACTTTCATCTGACTTCAACTTTCTTTGAAAAGGAAAACCCTGGTGCAGTGCTCTGCCAACTGAGCTAACAGGCCAACTGGGAGCTGGTCATTATGTTGGTTCATAATAAACCAGAGAAGTGATGAATCAATGACTGAATATATGAAAATCATTATGTGAACTGCAGTTTAAGAACTAGTTCAGGTATATGATTTTCATATTTTCATAGTCACTGATTCAAACATAAGTACTTACCGTACGTGTACTTGTCTAAAACAAAACCTTAGTTAAAGGTAATTTATTGATTTTTTTGCCTTTGTCTTCTTTTAACAAAGAATTGGGTGCACATTATCAAGTATGGGTTTTACAAAAATTTTGCAGATTAATCTTCCTCATTCTTCATCTTCACAGCATGCCGACAAGCAATGCATGATGTCACTGGTGCCTTCCTCTGTAGTTCTGTTGTTTCCTTCTAAAGTTGTCTAGCCATTGTTCTCCTGCTTTAGAGTTGCATTGTTCCAACATTTTAACATTATTTAATGAGTTAATTCTTAAGAAAATTTAATAAATAATGACATTGATCAAAAGCCTGGTGCACACTGTTGGAAGTGATAAGACAAAAGTGATGATGAAGTGTCTTAATATTTTTTGAAAATTTAACAGCAATATGCGAGTGCAGGATGGAAACAGTGTCCCTTTTTTGCTCGACATGAAATTCCTGTTGAGGAATTAGAATATCACCTTTCCATTTGTGAATACAAGGTATGCTGATTAACCTTTCTCTTCGGGTTATTACTATAAAATGCTTATTTATTTTGGCAAAATGCAGAAAATAGTTATTTTATTTTATTAATTTGCTAACCAAAAAGGTCAAAATGCAGGTGTATCAAAATGCAGGTGTATCAAAATGCAGGTGTATCAAAATGCAGGTGTATCAAAATGCAGGTGTATCAAAATGCAGGTGTATCACTGTTGAATTAAACATAAAAGTTGTGAGAATTAAGGAAACAATCATCAGTCTCAGGAGCTCTTGATTGTCAAACAAATTATCCTTGCCAGTTCCACGAGGAATACATAGAGAACAAAATGTAGAATAGACATAATAACATTGTAATGTGCAAGCAATGAACTTGTGTTGATGTACTGGGGAATAGACCAGAAACCACTCCACATCTGAATAAACCATAGCTGTTGCTCTCAAATGGAGCCAGAAATGTTGCTTTGTAAGGGAACAATTTTTCAATCTCTAGCACCAGACCACACTGATATATATATATATCTTATTAACCAAGCACGAGGGCCGTACTGGGAGAATATCAGCCCAAGGTCTTGACAGTACAGACCGAGCGCCGATTTTCTTCGAGTACGGTCCCAAGCAAGCTTGGTTGATAAGAGATTTATTATACGACTGAAGTTCAAAGGGACACAATTGTGGTATCATTCGGGACAGTGTCCAGTCCAATACTGAGAGAATATTGACTGGCAATACAGCATTTTGATTGGTTGATTTTAGTTATTGGCCCTCTGACTGCCCAAGTCGTATAATAAATGACACTGTTTAACTGTGTTAAAAAGAAAGTTTTTTGTCGACTCAATATTTGTTCATTCAGTTAGATATTAAGTCTGCAAGAAAAAAAAATATTATAATGCATCTGTTTTGACAAGATTGCTCTCGCAGTAAAAACAGCTGTAACTGATGTAATGGTAAACTGGCCACCATTACGATATATAATCGTAATGGTGGCCGATTTACCATTTCAACTTTGTTGATATATTCAATTTATTTCGTTACCCCCACCGACGCAGCCCCTAACAGTTTCTTTAGAAACTATCAGCCTTTATAACTGATGTAACATTGTTCTACTAAATGCTATTTCAGGACATGATCAGACAAGACATAGAAGAAGGTGAGTTTAAAGAAAATCCTTTGTTTGTCATTTGTCAAAGGCTTGGTTGTTTGAAATCCAACATACCCATTTTTGTTAGAATGTTTAATTGAAAAATAACTTAATATCTAAATTAGCAAATTATTAAAGCAATGAATGCTAGAAAAATGGACATTTGCTGTGAGCCTTTCAGTCTGTCACAAGGAAGTTTATCCTTAATTGATTTGTATTTTGAATTTCAGCTGGCCTTCAGCCAATAGTTGAGGAGAAAAGATTACGACAGCCGCAGCCAACCCCAGCAGTATTACCTGAGGAAACTGAGGATTGGGAAACAGGTGTGTTTTGTTGTCATAAGGAAGCAATAATTTTACACTATCATCTGGAACCTCACTGTCAATCAGTCAATTGAATTTCTTGCTTTCTGTAACTATTTTATTATCAGAGGTCTATTATATCTCAGTAACAGAGTCTCCAAAGCTCTAGTTAAATCTATCCTTCTTAAAAACTTTAAATTACTTCAAAACGATCCAGAGACAAACACCCTCTTATCGCAGCCTCCACTCATTTCATTCAAACGCGACAAAAACATAGGCAATTTTTTGATCAGAAGTTCTTTTCAGACTAATGACCAACCAGGCACTTTTAAATGCGCTCGTGCACGATGCAAAACGTTTCCCTTCATTCACAACACTGATAAAATATCGGGACCTAAATGATCCATTAAGATCACCAGTCACTTCACGTGCACCTCCGCCAATGTAATCTATTGCATAACTTGCACTTATTGCAAAAAGATATACATCGGTGAAACAGGCAGAAGACTAGGTGACCGATTCCAAGAACACCTTCGAGACGTGGAAAGGAATGACAAGGATACAACGAAACCAGTCGCTAGACATTTTAATTTACCTAATTATTCTAAGCAACATATGGCAATCTGCGGTCTTTCCTTACACTTAGGTAGCATGGAAAGCTTTAAAAGTCTTGAACAAAAGCTCATCTTTCAAACCGGCAGTCTAAATCCCACAGGGATCAACGAACGCTTTTCATTCCACTAATTTATTCTTGTTTTTCTTGTTGCCATGTTCCCACCAATAACATAGCTCCATTCTCTGCCTTTAAAAGCACACACAACCCACAATTCCTCTATTCGCTCCGACGAAGGGCTAACGCTTGAAACGTGAGCTTTTGTAATCGTTACGGTGGCCAATTTACCACTTCAACTTTGTTGATATATCCAAATTATCTAGTTACAAGGTTGTCGGTGCAATTTTTTTGGTGTGGAATTGGAATGCTTGCAGGGTATGCCTGTGTCAGTTGCAGGAAAACATCTTCGACATTGATTATTAGACTTGCAATATATGATTTTCATTTCCATCAATGTGTAATAATATGTCATGAATATCTGCTCGGCGTCTCCTTTCTGTAATCCAAACTTTTCTTCTGTCAAATGCATCATGGCTCTAGTCAAAATACAAGGAATGCAGTTCACATGAGCATTTAAAACCTTTCCATGCTAAATAGCTAGACAGGGGTTCCATTAATGTTTTCAGCAGGAGGGCAACTGGTTTTCACAGGCAGGCAAAACTTTTTGAACTAAACTTTGTTCTGGGATGATCTTTCCTCTAGATGGTCAAACCAGGCAGGCAAATACATCCTCACAGCTAGTCAATTTACCCAGTGCCAGGCCCTTAATGAAACCCCCGAATATATGACAAGCATGTCATGCATAGAATTGTTTTGTCTTTCCTGAGCAAACTTTTGACCAAAGGTTAACATAAACTTACTTTTCATCATGGACTTGAGTTCAGTAAGGATAATTTTGCTCTAACAAAATAACGTAAATAGCTGGTGAGATCTTTGCATGAACTTTCACCCTAAAGGTTTATGAAACTTCAAAAGAAGAATAAACAAGATCCCCGATTTGTGTTTGCATTACCTTTGCACTATACTGTAAGTTCCCACACAAGCTGCACAATGGAAGAATGTATCCTACAGTGTCAATATGTTTGTCGGGGGGGGGGGGGGATTATTCTGTTACATACGTGACAAAGTATCACAAAATATTTTGCCCACTTTATTTTGTCATAGTAATCTTAATTTCGCATGGGGAATGTGCTGAATGAAGTACCTGAATCTCATTGGCTAATCATAGTGCACTAACTGCTATGTACCACTGCTATGCTTTCATGTGTCTCGCGAACCATCTTTAAAATTTGTTTGAACATTAAGAAAAAATAAATTGCAATTTCATTTTGACTAATATGTGTCCATCATCTTATGTTAATATTTAAAAAGAAATCAATAATTTGACACACAATTTAAAATTTTTTTTTTTCATTTCTTTTAGAAATCGTTATTTTATTTCTGAAAATTTTAAAATATTGAAAGGGTTGTGCTAATTGCATGCCCATGTGGGTTGTAGAATAAAGAGAAACTAAATTTGTCTTTTACATATTGATTCACCCCTCCCTTGTTTTTTTGTTCCTAGAGGCTAATAGGCAACCATTTTCAATCCTTACGTCGGAGCCACAAGACGAATCTAGAGATGCATATGATGTCTTGCAGGCGATTCAAGATGTACAGGCTGAAGCTCATGCTAGACCTAACCTTATAGAGACCTCAGGGTAAGAAAATTAAATTACATTTTGTATAAGCCACTCCAGCCCATCAGGCTATCAGTTCAGAAAGCATATAAGCAAAAGTGGTTGGGGATTTCAAAAGAGGAAAACAAATGGGAGTGCCCCTCAGGCATAGTCTGAAATAACACACTCTGGCATGCATTGCAATTGGGTAACTTTAATTTGCAGTTAACATCAGAAACTTCCATGCCATAAGGTCAAACCATTTTCCACCAACAAAAGGTTTTTTTCTTACAAGTTGTAGTTTTTTATAGTCCTGAAATGTGTTGCAATTTTTTAACACTTTTAACCCCTAAGAGTGACCAGCATCTAATTTCTCCTTACAATATCACCCCTGAATCACACAGGAAGGTCATGAGAAAAATGAAAATGATCAACAACTACAGAAACTCCTGATTGATAAGCAAATTCTCCCTGTCAGCACCTTAGGAAATGTATAGAGAACAGTACGGAGAATATGCATGCTGATCGTTTTGAAAGAAACTATTTGGGGCTGCGTCGGTGGGAGTAACAAAATAATTTGGAGATATCAACAAAGTTGAAATTGTAAATTGGCCACCGTAATGATTACAAAAGCTGACGTTTTGAGCATTAGCCCTTCGTCTGAGTGAAGGAGAATATGCATACTGATATTAGGGTGTAAAGGGTTAATGTGTTATGATACAGCATGGTGACCTAACCTCCTGGTTAGCTCAATTGGTAGAGTGCCGGACTGTTGTGCGGGAGGTCGAAGGTTCAAGCCCTGGCCGGACCAACACTCTATTATTTTTTCATCTAGATTAAATAATTTTAAGCTTGAACTTTTTATATTATTCCTTAAGTTTGTTAGTAATGTTTCTCATCTTGAAGAATTAATGTGTTATGGGTGTCATTTTTCCCTTTACTGTAAATGTATTTGAAGGTAATTAGTGTTTATCACCTTATATCTATGTTGAACCAAATATTTGTATAGTTTTAGTTTCTCCTGTAGTAAGTCGTATATTGCTGATTAGGCTTTGTTTTACATGTGTATTTTGTATTGTTGTGAAGGCCGTAGGTTAGATAACTCCAGTTGGGTTAATTACGTCACCTTTGTTAAATAAAGAATATTGTATTGTATTGTATTGTAAATGGATAGATACTCTAGTCTTCTCGAATAAGGATGAACAAACCGTAGGTCCCGTCTCCTGCAGGGTTAGGGGTAGGAGACGTTAATTTCCTACGCAGGAGATTTCTGTGTGGTGGATGTCCTCCCCTGGGATGGGATGGGTGGGTGTAAGATTGGCCCTGAGAAGCCCCATGGGGGAGTGGTCAACTAACATATGCATGTATGTTAATTTTGGTGCCTCCAGTATTTTAAGGAGAAATTCAACAGGAATGATTGAATTTTGAGATATTGAAGGGGAACCTGGAAAAAGTCTCAAGTGACCTCAGAAGAACTGCTGGATTCTCCTGTCAAGTTATCTCAAATTCACCTGTGATACACAGGAAGAAGTTGCTTCAACAGTAACCTGGGGCTTTATTCCATGCACCTTTTTCACCAAGCAGGGTTTACTGAAATTGGAGGGAAGGAGGGGGGGGGGGGTAAGGAGTATTGGTGATTGTTTTCTAAGCATCTTAAAACATGTCACTGCAGCATGACACCCGCACAGAAGAAAAACTTCAAAAGAGCACAGAAGAGACAAGAACGACGGGAAGCTGAAAGGTGCACAGTTAAATAACATTGATTGAACGAAACCTAGATATTCCATGTTGCAGCAAGTGGCAAAAAACTATATCTTCAAGGCATGAAACTAATTATAAAAGTAGTAAAAACTGTCTTTTGGTTTCTGTAACCATGAGCCATTTCTTTTTTTGCTTTGTTGCAATCTTTGCAAGTCTTAAATTGAGTTAATGTTGACAGAATAAAAGTACTGATCAAATCTAATATCACTTTTGTTGCTTGCTTGCTTGCTTGTTTGCTTGCTTGCTTGCTTGCTTGCTTGCTTGCTTGCTTGCTTGCTTGCTTGCTTGCTTGCTTGCTTGCTTGCTTGCTTGCTTGCTAAGAACATATACCAAAGCAGTAATAGACATAAGTTATTTCACAGTTAAATGCTTTAGCCTGTTGCTAAGCCGTTGTCTCTATTTTTGGTCTTATGACTTGTATGCTGAAAAAATTTCTCAATCTTGAGGAAAGGACTAGACAGTGTAAACTGCCTGTACACAATCTTGACCTCTCAGTTATTGATGTTCAGATTTATATCAATAGAGATGAATATTTACTCTAATAGTCTGTGTATTTTGAAAAATTTAATTTTGGTCTATTTATTTTTTCACTGCGTACATCCTGAAATAGTCAGAAAGCCAACTCACTAAGTACCTAATAGGCATAACAGCTGATTTTTTTGTCAGGTATTTCTTCAAAATCTTACAGGTAATTTGTTACTTTTAAGTTGCTGATGTCATGAAAACCAGTCTTTCAATTAACTTTCTTTATGTCAGTAGCTTTTTCTGTGAAATGAGGTTTCAAACATACTATTTATCTCTCTTTCTTTTTGTTTTTGGTGCCAGTCAAGAACCTAAAATGACAAATGAAGAGAAGGCTCAAATCCTAGCAAAAGAGTACAGTTTACTTAACAATACAGGTGAGCCTGCCGAATTACAGTCCGGTCCCTACCAAGTGCTTTTGCTACCAGTCCAATTGCTACTCTAAAATGATACAGAAATTTTCTTCATAAATCTTTGTGGCTTTTTACTAAGTTTCATCTATGTTTTCTGCTGATAATTTCCAGTAGTAGCAAGCGGACTTCATCATGGTTGTGATCAGACTGTGGTTGGTAGCAATCAGACCAGTAACAAAAGTACTTGGTAATGACCAGACCGGTTACCAGCTTGCCATTTGATAAAGAACAGATGTGAAGTTGGAAAGTTATATCTAACTTAGGATGACCTTCAGCAGTCAAAATTTATTTGACACTGAAGGAGAGTGTTTTGTTGTGGTAAGAGATAATTGTATTGTCTCAATCATACTGCTTTAAGGATTTTTGAATGACAGATTGTGGTGCAAATTTAAATTTGCAATCACCCAGAGGTCTTAGTGAGTCTTCCTCACAAGAGGCTATGATCAGTTGTTCAGTTGCTGCCTGCAATATCATTGTTCACCAGCATAGACAAGTCAACTCTTTTTGACTGGTACTGGCCAATCACACCTACTGACTTAGTTTAGAAACCCATTATGATTTAAAGGAGCTCAGCCCTATACAAACCATGTTTACTCCATTGATTGCTTCCCAAATAGAAACAAAATTACTAATAAATAACTCCCTGAAATGATCATGTCATCAAATCAGAAGAATATAGTGTTTATTCAAGGAGTCACTGCCTGCAATGTCATTGCTTACTAACACAGTCAAGTTGTCAACTTCTGTTGACTGGTACTGGTCAAACACACCTACTGACTTAGTTTGGCAACCTGTTACAATTTAAAGGAGCTCAGCCCCATACAAACCATGTTTACTCAATTGATGGCTTCCCAAATGGAAACAAAATTACCAATAAATACCTCCCTTAAATAATTGTATTGTCCAATCAGAAGAATGCAGTGTTTTATCCAAGGAGTTTTAGAAAATCAAATATCAAATACTACAATCTTGACCATCCTTGGGAGTTTACCATAAGCTTCTGTTTCAAATAATGTTAACAAATGAGTTACTCCTATTGTCTTCTTTGATTCAAAACAAACTTTGACCTTCTTGTATGTAATGTGATTAAAATGATAAAACATTACTTCGAGCTATTTAGTTAGTAACATACCCTGTGTATTTAATTTTTTTGCTTGGTTCATTAAACCCTTGCTTGGGAAAGGAAAAAAGAAAGATCGTGAGCAAACCTTTATTTTTCTTTTATTTCACAAAGTAAGTCCCTCCTGTATAAATTTGTAATTTTTTTTTTCCAGGCAGTTTTGTTGACTTTGTGAGTATCCTAAATCAACACTGTCAGAAAAGCAAAATCAATGTACCAAAATATGGTGAAGCACCTGGAGTTGACGGAGGCTTTGGAGCACAGTGTTTTGTGAAGGGTCAGATATTTAAATGCATGAAGTGCTGTTCAACCAAGAAAGAAGCACGTCATGATGCTGCCATGCGTGCTGTCTTGGGTCTCAATATTCCTGTGGGTAAGAGATTCTGTCCATCTATGTTATAGTTTATCTTGTCATTGTCAAGGTAATTAAAAGATATATTATGCATAATTGAATCGTTGAAAAAATTTGTAATGAATTTGTGTCAAATGACTAATTCTTGAAGACATTTGCCACCACTGGTTTCATTTTGTTATCTTAACAATAGCATCCAGGGGTTTCATTAAGGGGCAGGCACCAGGAAAATTGACTGGTTGTGAGGACGGCTTTGCCCAGCTGATTTGACCATCTGGAGGAAAGTTTATCTTATAGAGAAGTTCAGTTCAAAGAGTTTTGCCTGCCTGTGAAAACCAGTTGCCCTCCTGCAAAAAACATTAATGAAACCCCTGAGCATCATGTTCATAGTCTTCAGTCTTCTCATGTTTCTCAAAAAAGAAAAGTAAGATCTACAAATGGTTTCAAAATAACTCTTACCCTTGTTTGTGTAAATTGTACGAGTTCAATGATTGTTTTTGAACTATGATTGGGTCAATAACTTGAAATGTGGATCACAATAATCGGGTATTGACTGCTTAAATGCATGGTGGTTTTCTGATAGCTACGATCATTGTTCCCATCTGAATTACAATGAAAGCTACATTTTATTAACTCTTTAACTAGTTGACCCCACACCCAACAAACGGATGGATGCAAGAACTGCCACTGACCATCAGAAGCTCAGAGAAACTCATGAGTTACAGCTTCTGAAAGAGGCACAACAGGCACCAGCCAAAGGCAGAGGCAGACCAACTGTGCAGCAGCCTGTGAGTTCCTTTTCCACCTCAGCTACTGGCCCACCCATGTCACAGCAACCATCACAGTATATGGCAGTCAACAACTTCACTGAGGTAACTCAATCCCAGTTTCCAGTTGCCTTAAAAGGAGTTCCTCTGCTAGCTTCTTACAACCATTTTTGGGCATGCTGCAATGTTTTTCCTTCGTGTATTAACAATTTTTGTGCCTATATACGTGCCTTCCTTCTTGGAAGAGCATAGGCACCATGTTCTGGTGTCGTGTAAGTCTGTAAACCTTCCCCCAAGCCCCTCTTGGTTTTCAAAATGGTAGACTATTATGAGACACTTGTAACATCTCTTTTGACTTGCCCTGGTTCAGTTCAGACACAGACCATCATTGAATGGATCTCATCAGGTTTCTTTGGATTTTTTGGTTTTTTCAGGTTTAGTTAGTTTTTTTCATGGCCTCACCTCTGCGCTTCAATGTTGTTATTGAGTTGAACATAAGAACTAAGCCTTCAAAGGTTTGCACGGGTGCATTTCTTCTCAACATATCAAGCATATCCCTTGAAGATAGATGTAAGATAATTATATCCATAGTGCCAGGTGTGCACGGCGTATGAAATGGTGAAGTTTTGCATTGGAATGAATTTGATGCTTATTTAAAACCTGTACCTTTTTATTTTATTTCCTCCCCTGTCCCTGGCCTGTCAATTGGCCCATGTACAAACTCTGCTTTAACCAAGTCCTGCTTTTGTCAGAGGTTTGGCATCGACTAGAGCTATTCATAAACCCCTCTACATGTCACACCTGACCAAATTACTTTTGTTACTGCAATACTCTACAACTATACAACAGCAGGTGTATGCAGTCCTAGACTGCCTTTTATTTATTGTGACAGTCTTTGATATATTAATTAAATACATAATTATGTTATTTATCTTTCTTCATTTGACAAGTGAGCTGAATGAATCTATTAAATTATTTAAAAAACGTAAGGTAAATATGGCTTAGCTTATTTACCAATGTGTGCTATGCCCCACAATTAATAGTGTCAGGCTGCAAAATATGAAGGTTCTATTTTTCCCAGGCAACTCTTTTTTTGCTTTGCTCTTGTCTGTGACAAAAAAGTAACTAACTTAATATGTAAAAAAAGTATTGTATTATTTCCCCACTTATTGTAACTTCCTCACTTATTTGACTTCTTACTGTCATGAAATAATAATTTGGAAATTTTTAGGTTACTGGTGCAAGAGGAGGAACAGAAGATGATGAGTGGACAACTGTGGGTAAGAAAGGTAGGTTAAAACACTCGTATGTTGATAGATTGATGGCAATTGGTAAAAGTGCCAGAAAAAAATTAACCAGTGAGAGAAGGTCATCATTAACAAGAAATCAGCAGGCTCCATCTAAGGTTAGAATTGGATCACACAGTTGAGGGATTATGTAATGACTGTTACTCATCAGCCCCACTTTCCTGTGAGGAGGATGCAGTCAAGTTTCCTTGAAAATTTACCACTACTCACTTTACTTCTGGGACTTATAGTTCAGATGCGAGTAGGGAACTTAAGCAGTCACGACAGCAACGCCACAGACAACGTCGATAAAAAAAATGAGTTTCTACTTTTAGTTAGAATTTCAAAAATGGCTGCATGTGTTTACCATCTCATGGGGCACCAGACCTCTCAAACTCAACATGATGCATAAAAGTAGTGTCGAGTTCCAAATGTAAATTAAAATAATTTGTCGTTGCGGTTTCGGTTCGCAAATGACGCAAATTTTGGGGATTTCACTTTGTTGTTTTGCAAAGGTTGGCAAAGAAATGTACAAAGTTTTAAAACGCACATGCTGGGCTATTGTTCTGCCAATTAGATCTATTGTTTTTCCACGTTCTCGTTGCCGTCGCCATCTTGGTTTGCTTAAATTCCCTATTGAGCTCTTGTCTGGGATGAAAAGACAAGTGAAAACTTGATTCTTCATTTTCGTTTTTATTCAGAGATGAGCATTGATCTGCTGAACTTCTATGGACTTTCTCTCTTTATGGTTTTTATTTTTTGATTTTTCTGTTTATGGTAGGATTGAAAAATCCAGTCTATCAGCATTCCCTCAAGATGGCAGGGCGTGGAAGGGGTATGACAAGGCGGTGACAAATGACTACTATTGCATCTGACCAGCAGAGACAGAAATCCTGACCAATGGATCTTTCTGTGTTCTCCCTTAAATAACTATTATTTTCAATGAGGGAGCAAGGTTCTCATTCCTTTGATCTGTTTTGCATCATTCCCACAATTCCTTCAAGGTTGGCACGCTAGACCTTTGCTCCACCTGAAAGATTGCTTCCACTCTGAAAGACTACCTAGTGAAAGCAAGCTGTGTGAAAGCCCTTCTGTTATGTTAGTTTAACGAGAGAGCTACCATTCATTAGTGAAGAGGTACATATTAGGTTAGCACTTATTTTTTTCAAGTTTGGAGAATTTTTTATTTGGGGTGAAGAAAGATTTGATGATGATGATGATGATTTTTAAGCATTAAGGGCAAAGGGACAATGGGAAAAGTTTTGTGTTCTGGTTAAACAAGAGTGGAAAAAAATTTTTATGAGGGGAATCTTTTTATGTCAGACATACAGGTCTACAGGTTTTTCCAAAAGTAATCTGAACAAATTTTATTAAAGAATAATCAGGTTCAGGTTCAATGCCCTAATTAAAATAAAAAAACTGAGACCCCAACTGCCCAGAGGTCATTTAATTTCATTTAGATTAATTTATAAAAAAGTTTCAGTTTAATTTTATGCACATTAAGTTTGAGTACTATTAAGCAATAAGAGTATCTTAAATATTCTTACAATTAAACAAATACCTCCAGTGATTGTAAATAAAATTTTTATTGTGGCTAAGTGACTCATTATCATTTCTGAATTTTGTTATTAAAAAGGTGACCTCACCAGAAATGTTGTATATTGAAGGGAAACTGTCTAAGGATATATGACACAGATTTCTTGGGGAAAAGGGAAAAAAAAGAAAAGGAACAAGGAGAGCAAAAAATTGAGAAGATAAAGACTGACTGAAAAAAAAAAACAAACAAGAACATTTACACATAACTTCAACATTGTAAAATGCACAAAGGGTTACACAGTTCCTTTGAGGTGTGCAAAAATTTTAGGAAAGATTCTGAAATGAATGCACAGCTTCACAAACACTTCACATCCAAACAAGTAATTACTTTGTTTTAATTGTCAAAACACATTAAATTATTCATAACAGCCACATGATAATTTCTCATATCAAAAATATGAAACAGTGTGGCTGTCTAACAGGGATTTATCCTCTCTTCGGACACAAAGCCATTTACTTCCATCACTACTTGGGAAGTGCCATGTATCCCCTGTGGTTTGGACATGAACACGGCTGTCAAATCTCCTCACACTCTACAAATGTAAAATATGATGAATAATTGTGCGACTTTAGAAAGCTGGAGCATGTGACAGTGCAAGGGCTGTGAAAATTGGTTTTCATTTATTTTAACATTTATAAGATGGGTTTTGTACCCAAAGATATCTGGAACAACTTAGCTGTACTAAGCAGCAGACAAAAAAATTTTATTAGTTTAATTTTTAGCAAATTACAACATAATACCAATTGTTTGCTACTCAGTTTGACACAGCCAGATCCAAAAGAATTCACAAATGGTTTGCCTTGTCAGTGCAAGGTTCAAAACTAAATAACTTATTATGAAGTTACCAAAACCTTTGTGAACAGAGATCCTGTTTTATGCAGATACTGATCAGAATTTGCAACTGTCAGATTAAAACAAGGTTCACTGTGGACCCTTATTAAATTAGAACATACCTCAAACATGGGTTGTTTACCACCCAAACTAGCCAACTTCATTTGGTAAAGCTCTTGCCATCTGGTGAACTGGGCTTTCATCAGTAAATCCATACCTTGCAGATGGTTAGAGAACATGTCCGAGGACACCAGTAGAGTGCCTGGGCCACACTGCATAGCAGCGCTAAGAAGATAGACGTCGTCTAGTGACCTGAAGATTAAATTGTGCATGATTACAAAAACAATCTGAACAATGTTAATGTTGCTTTTCATGGCTATTGCTCTGCTTATGAGAATTGCAACATGTCTTGCTAAATTCTTCCGAAATCCTAAAAGCTTGATTCTCAATTCTCAAAAATCAACTTGAAACTCAAACCTTGACACTCGCTTCACAAGACGTTCAAGAATCTAGAATCGAGTTCCAGGTCAAGGAAACCAAAATCAAGTAAGCAATACCCTAGTGGTATACTGCAAGTATTTTCCACAAGCTCTATAACTAAAGAAAAAACAAAATGAGAAGTGTTACCTTCCCGCCAGACAGAAAACACCACAATGTTCTCTCAGAAAATCCATCACTGAAGGGAGTACATTGTCATGTCTTTTTAAGTTACCCAGTGAAATTGGACTAGAACCCACCACCAAAACCCTCTTTTCCTGTTTCAGAAAATGTTCAGCCACAGCTTTCAGCTGCATGGATAAGGAGAAAATCAATGTTAGTGCCCATCCATAATAAAAACTCTTTAAAAACCTTTAACTCTCATGAGTGACCAAGACAGAATTTTGCCTTACTGTATCAATACAATATCAAGCAGAAAAGTGATGAGAATCAAGAAAAATAACAATAAAGAGATCAGTCTATTCGATACCAAATTCTCCAAACCAACACCATGAGAATTGTAAAGCAGACAGTGAAGAGAATTATGAATGAAATCTTGGGAGTGAAAGGGTTATATTAAGGAGACATGACAGCTGTATGGTTAACATACAGAAGGAAACATTTTTTGGCCATCAGTCCACTGTGTGTGAAATCAATATCAGGAGATGGAGTTAAAGGAACAGGAGCAAAGTGAGGAAACAAGAAATTCTAACTACCCCCTTCTCTCCCTTCCTTACAAGGAAACTTAAACAATCTACTACCAGGCACAAGACTAAGTTGAATTTACCTTTTCAGCATCAAAATGATGATAGTAATAAGCCGCATTGAGTCCATCCACAACTACATCATAGCGTCCTGTTGTTTCAATAAACCTGACCACACTGACTGGAAACCTATTGGAATGCCCTGGTCGGTTATAATCAACATACTTTCCAGCAGTCGTGTGACTTCGTACTTCTGAAAGAATTTTGCGATTCCTCAACATATGCGAAATAAGTGGGTCCTTCAGCTCTTGCAGTTCTTCTGCAGTAAAGTGCCCAGTTTCTAGTTTTTGCTTGCAGGCTTGGCAGTGGTATCTGGCAAAGAAACAAACCAAAAATAAACCAAAAGTGGAGAAAATGTTACTTCGACCTAAACTGACCTCACTTTCACTATCAATTGAAAAATAATCAATAAATACCCGTGATACAGTTGTAAGTTTTGTGGGAAGGTTTTATATAGAGTGGTCTTTAAATATCACATTTTGTACATCTGATGTACAAAATGTGATATGTAAAGACCACTATATATAAAACCTTCCCACAAAAACTTTTCCCTCTAAAGTATAGCCACATTTGAAAAATACAGTCTTGTTCAATTTATGCTTTGTTAAGAGATATTTTCCCTTGATCTTGGGGTATGGAAATGAATGATAAGGTCCTCAAAAGAAGAGAAAATAAAGTTACTACCATAAATATACTATGAAAATTTTCTTACGTTGCTGTTGGAAATGACCAAGCTGTCACCCATTTTGGGTCTTTTTGACTGCAAAGTATAAAGGAAAGTATAAAGAAAAGGTTAAAGATTAATTGAAAACTATTAATACTAGGACTGTGTAGCATCTAATTATTCCTGACAATATGGAACCCTGAGTCACACATTAAGGTCTCATGAACAAAGTAAATAACAGTTACTGTTTAATTAATTTTCTGGTCAGCTCCTTAAGAAATACATAGAGAACAGTGTAGAGAACATACTTGCCTATGTTAGGGTATAGATGGTTAGCTAACAGTCCAAACTAGTTTTATTGATTGAAGTTGTTAAGATAATTGGATAGTTGATTAACAAATCTATCTATCCTGTACAGGCCTGAATATTTTTCAGGCCTTATTTTCACAACTGCTTATGAGTAGTGTTCATCACTGCAAAGATCACCTTGATATTTATGTTTTTCTATTGTCAGACAATAGTCCCTCAATGGTCAATCAACACTTGAATGGCAGACAGCCATTAGTTCAAGCAATATCTCTTTAAGGTATCAAGCAACTGGTCCATTAATTGACTACCTGACCAAGTATTGACTGACTACCAGGCACTGCTCAACAGAGTGATTGTTAAATTACAGAAAAGCAGTTCATGTGTCAAACAACACATGAACCAAGGCTAGCCATATTGCATGCCACCCTGCCATTAAAAATTTCTCCCCCCCCCAAAAAAAAAAAGAATAGAGTGTCCTGAAGTACTGTTCTATTCACTTAATTTAATACCTTGACAGCTAAAACTATAAAAGCTTCATCTTAAGTGTAGTTTATTAGCTTCACCGACAGGCAGGGACACCACAACAGCTTGCACCAATTACCGAGAGCCAAGTAAACCCACCCATCCCACCCAGGGGAGGACATCCACCACACAGTAATCTTGTGTGTGGGAAATTAACGTCTCCTACCCCTAACCCTGCAGGAGACAGGGCCTCTGGTTTATTCATCCTTATCCGAAAAGACTAGAATATCTATCCATTTGTTGTCATAGAAAGGTAGCAAATTCTCCTCAGTTATTTTACGACGATGAGTATTGGTCCGGCCGGGGCTCGAATCCTCTACCTCCCACACAACACAATCCGGCACTCTAACCAATTGAGCTAACCCGGAGGCAGTCGAAGTGAGCCCAAAATCAGTGAATAGCTTACCCCTTCCTCATTATGTAGCAGCTCTAAGCCCCTAATCCCCCCTTCCATCCACCTCAATTCTTAACATGACAGTGAAGTGAACGTTTCCATGTATCTGACAATTAACCTTTCCACTGCACTACTGAGGAATAACAATTTTCTGACTGGGAGGGTATAGTTCAAAACTTGACACGTTCAATAATGTTGTACTTAAAATGATGTGTTAGTTCATTAAGGATATGACTGTTCATTTATTTTTTTTAACTAATTCTTAGACTTAGTGATTCCTAAACAGATGAGCTGCCTATTTCTGCTCTTTTTTGTATATAAGAACTCTTCCTTTTATTGCAAAATACCCTAACTAAGGAAAGATGGGTCGCCAAATTGGGGGTGAACTGGTAAAGTTGGTTGGCAAACTCGTTTAACGTTAGTGGATAACTTGCAAAGGTGATTGGGGGCAAGTCATCAAGTCCACATGGAGGACATGACCATTGCTTTCTTTACCTGTCAAACCACAGCTTGATTGTCTCCAAAGCCTCAAAACTCAGCAAGTCTCGATATCTTCGAACGTCGTAAAACAATTCCAATACCTTATTCGTTAACTGCCTACTCTCTCTGCCCACACAAGCTCGGACAACTGTTACATAGATATCCACGATTCGTTCATGAAGTGTCCCAGAGTGACGCAAATCGTCCAAACAACGAAATGCATCCATTGGATCTCCTTTGATGGCTTCCATCTCCACAAAAGGTTTAAAATGGCGAGCTCTGGGAGTTAAACCGTCCTTTAGCATTTCATGAAACAAGTTTTTCATTGAATGTTTAGGATAATTGGACTTCGAGTAACAATTAGCAACAATGGAATACGTTGAGTAAGTTTTCGGGATATTATTTTGTTCCATGAGAGTTATCAGTTCAAAAGCTGCGTCGATCTTGTCATAACGAACCAGCCAGTTAAGTGCATAATCTAGTGCTTCTTTTTTGAGCTGCTCAGGAAGAATAATAAATTGATTAAAGAGCTCCAAAACTTCATTTGGTCCAGTAAGCGTCTCGCAAAATGGTTGAATGTTCTTCAAGCGCTTTGAAAAAGGAAGACTCGGGTGAAAACACTCGCGAGCGTCACTAACAGCTGAACAAAAACATCTAAAGCCAGGAATCATGCAGCGTCTATAGTCAGTCGAACACACGATGACTGACCTTGCATTACTCTGAAGGATTCTCCCCAACATTCTGGTCGCCATATTGATCGCCATGTTTTGTATCTAACCTTATCATGTAATACGCATGATATGTCTCTCTTAGGTGAATTAAGAGGGAAAAGAGCGAGGGCTCCTCAAAGTGCACCTAACCCCTGGATTTTTTTTTTTTTTTTTTCCGTTTAAAAAAATCTTCATGCTTTGGTGAGTATCTCTTCGAAAAAATTTTTGGATTTGGTCAAATCCTTGAATTTTTGTGCCCCGTTGAGGTACGGAAAATCGCATTAAAATCACCGCCATTTTGACTCACGAGCGCGTTTCAAGGATCAAGAGTCTGGCGACTAATGTGACGTCACTTCGAGAACCCAACAATCTGTATTTCGCGCCATTTTGCACAGTTCACTGGTTATGTTTGGAAGGTTAGATCGATATTGGTCGCAAATATGCCGCAGAATGAATCTAGTGCTAGAAAGGCTTTCGCAGGTCGACGACTGGC